TTTATTTATTTATCTGTCCAAATAGAGAGCTTTAGACAGATCTAAATTTTAGCTTTCTAATTAACCGAATGAACCAAATTAATTCTGCTTGCTTGCAATTTAGAGCACATTAGCATGTCCTCTGGTGAGTCTTCATACCCAGCCTATGAAAGCATTAATCATACTTGATGGCAAGTCAATGAGAACGGCATCAGCAGAGTAATGCTTTACAGTTATTGTTTTTGTCTGTGCTTTAATTATCTAATAATTAATTATTGTGCCAGTCTCTTTTGTCAGGTAGAGCCAGAGCACTTAACATTTAACTATGAGCTCTCACTCAAGTAAATCCTTTATTAATTTGGTATTGATAAGATGTAATTGAAGACGATTTCCAATACTGCTGCAAGGTGTCGTATATAGTAAGATGCATTTTTATCATTAATGCATATACTGTAGTTTTGACCTGCAGAAAATGAAGAGACTGCATACAGCATGTATGCAAAAACACAAATATATATTTATTTACACATACAACACACTTAGACTGTACCACCTAATTACGTTTAATAAACCTAAAAATAGCCAGCAATTTGTTATCCAATAATATATGTAAATAATTGAATGACATTCAGTTCTGTGGACAACATAAAACCATCATTAGTATTTTCCTGATCCACGTCTGGTTTGAGGAGTTCACTGTACGGTCAGCTCCCTGAAGTCAAGTGTTTAATGTTTAAGCAAACCGGTCCATGTAACCAGAGTTAACACCCATGATCTCAGCCTCAAGCATAAGTCTGCTACAGCTGAATACTGTTTATACCCCCGCTGGCCTTTTCAAAGCTGCAGCGTCTGCTTAGCCTCTGCAGCACTGCCATCTAAGCAGAACACAGGGATCCCAGTGGACTCTTCACTGGTCTTCTTTTTCTTTACCATCATTGGATTTCTTTGTAAGCAGTGTTTTTTTTAGTTGTTTTTTTTTAGCACTGCCTTTGGAGATGCTACAAGAAAGGACTAAATGCCATGACGTCACAACATGCTGGTAAAGCATGAAGAAAATGGTTTAAATAAATTTTGAACAGCCTCATTGTATTCTCCTGGATGTCTCAGACATTAACGCTCATGCTGGGGTGCAGGTGCTAGCTTGCGGATAAGAATGGGCTCTGCATATCAAGAGCTGCTACAGTCGCATTGTGGGTTCAACTGGATCTCTCCACCATCCTTCTCTGGTGGTTATGGCAAGGACAGAGATAACCTTTGAGGTGCATTCGCACCTTGCTGTGCAGTGAGGCATAAATGAAAGGGTTGTAACATGCAGAACTCATAGCCACTAAGTGGCAACATACTTGTAAGACATTTATGTAGCGCTTGCCCATAATATGGAAGTCCGGGTCCAAGTCCAGCAACAGGTTCAGCACCTACAAAACACAATGGAAAAAGTTGTTTTATGCATCGAATCAGCACTGACTTCTTAAACTATTAGGAACATTTTTGAAAAGTCTGACCAAGCTGCTCCTCTCTTTCTGCCTAGAAAATCATAAATTAGAAGGCAGCTTGAACTGTGGTAATGGATTTCAGAAATGTGAAATTTGCCAGCATAATTAGATTTGGTTGAACGCTAATACTAAATCATTCCACGTCACAAGTTAAGTTTCGGTGTTTAGCAGCAGGATTTGCAACATGCCAACTGCAATTTATAAAACCAGATCATTTCACTTTTGACTCATTTGGACACGTTTCACTAGCCATGACAAATACCCTTCTCCTAAGTCATGAAGGAGCCTTGCAGAAGCCACGAATTTATCAATTTGCATGCAACATTGACTTTAGAAATGCGACTCTACCAACACTTACGATCTGCATTTAAGCAGTGCACGCAAAGTGCTTTTAGTGAAACAAGGCTCTGAGTGTTTGCAGCCATATTGCAGTGTCAACTTTTCCTTCCAGTTCAATAATGTGACAATGAAATCCTAATCTGTTAGCCTTTTACATGGCTCATTGTGGACATAATATTGGCTTTGTGGACACAAATATCTGATGTTGGGTTTCCATAGTTAATGATGCATAAAATTGAATCATCCTAATAGTAGTTAAACCTGCAGTTTTGCATCATTTTGCTGCTATTGAGGTTATGAGTTTCGAACAGATACATATAGAAAAATGTTACTTTCTTTGTCTAATGCCTATAGATAAGGATTAATGGAGTAATGGTTAGAATTCATCAATGTCTTGAATCACCTGGAGAGGCAGCCAACACAGGGCAAAGGCCAGCACTGAGGCCACCAGCAGAGAGAACGTCTTCTTCCTCCTTTGGCTCCAGCGCTGCTGACTGTTTGATGGCTCCCCAGGCACTGAATAGCGCTTCAAACTGATAGTAATGGCACAGTAGGATACGCTAACTGACAGCAGTGGGATCATATACGAGGTTATTAAAATGAAGCAAGAGTAGAGAAGCCGCAGATTGCCACTATTTGGCCAGAATTCTTCACACACTACCAGGTCAATGCCCGTGGGCCGCAGGTCCAGGTAGTCTGTGTAGTACGATGGAGGTGCGGCCAGGGCCAAAGATAAAAGCCAGACACCCAAAGTCACTGCACCGCAACCCCACACAGAAATCCTCCTCCGTACTGGATGAGCTGAGACAAGGAAAAAATACAGATATAGTATATATTAGGTAAAAACAATAAGGATGTTATTTCATACCGAAATTAAAGTGGCCATGTATAGAAGTGTGTAAAAATTAGAGAAGTCTCTAATTATTTTAGCTTGGTCATCTCAGTATCAGGAGATTAAATCTGTGTGTGGTCAATTTGCATTTCGCATTACAGAAAACACATTTTGGAATATAGTAAGATTAACTTTTGAACGTACAGTAAATTACTGCTAATCAGTAATGGTAATGTCAAGTCCCTTACCTACAACAATATAGCGGTCCACAGCAATAGCAGTAAGTGAAAGCACTGATGCAAAGACTGTGGCACACTGCAGCAAGGGAACCAAATGGCAGAAAGGTCTTCCAAAAGCCCAGCCATGGCTGTCGAAGGCGTAAGACACTGTCAGCGGAACACAAGTCAAACACATCAACAGGTCACCTGCTGCTAAGTTACCGATGAAAAAGTTGGTGGCATTGTGGAGTTTCTTGTCAGCCAGGATGCAAGCCAAAAGGAAGGAGTTTCCAACAACAGCTACTACCACTACAAGGCAGTACAGAGGCAGGAAGAGAGGCTTGTATCGCTGAAGGAGCTCTATGCCTATGAACATGTCCAAGGGGTCGCTGTGGTTGAGTCCTTGGTCTTTGTTTCCTTCTATTCTTGCTCGTGATGTTTCATGACTTGTGTTGCCAGTCATACTGAAATCCTTGTCCATGAAGACATCCATGTCTCTGCACGCCAGCCTTAAAAAAGACACCATCAACAGTTATCCAATAAATACTGCATGGAAAATCAGCCATTGATTTTTGTAGTCTTCAGGGATCCAGTAGACTGACAACATAATAACGCTGAAGTGACAGAATTCAATTATAGTGGGTAAAAATTCATTAACCTAAATAACTTTATGTTTGCAGCAAATTTATAGGAACAATTTCTCCAGTGGTGAAGTATGTGTAATATAAATAGTGTTCATAGAGAGTTTTTTCAATGCAGGTTTTCAGTGTTGCTAGCTGCATATGTAAAATGCAACTTCCCATTCTGATAATGGCACATTAACTCAATTATGTTTGGAAAGTTGACTAAAACCATAACAAACGTTGGTTCCTTTATAACTTTACTGTACAACCACAGCTCTGTTGTATCACTCTCTTCCTTGAAAGTATATTGAGGCTGAAAAAAGGCACCAGGACTCCTTTACATTTGTGAAGATGTTTCACTTCTCATCCAAGAGGTTTGTTTAGTTCTAAAAACAAATCGTGGAGAATCCCACGTAACCCTGAACACAGAATGTAGATATCTGTACTCTGCATGTTAGTAAGCTAGATGACCTTGTTGCATACTGAGTCTTTAATGTGAATGAGCTATGTCTTGTGGCTTTTCAGCTTCTCATTTCACCACATTGACTAATATGTTGTTTTGATCCAAAAGTCACCTGTTAGTGATGGATCTTGATCTAACGTGTACTCCTGTATATTATCTCTTAGTTCTAAGTGCCACGAAGGTGCTTATCTGTGACAGCAGTTAAAAATGGTGGATCTGATTCACCTTAGCAAATATGTCATCAGACTCATAGTTCATGATCTTCATGCCAGTGCAGAGGTTTGATTTATATTGTGCATGAATCAGGATACTAAAAACTCACCTGCATAATTCTTCTGAAACTGTTATAGGAAGAAATGAATAATGTCTAAGTTACTTTCTTGTGTATGAGGTTTGAGAATAAATGGCTTCTTTTGAGAAATGATTTAAAAGATTTACTGAGTTTTCCAGTGAGCCACTTCTTTTTCCATCACCTTGGATTTTTTTTCAATGTAATGTATCATGCACTAGAATATTATACGCCTTCCTTTCGCTTAGAATAACTGACAACTCCCAGTTCTAGGCACCGCTAGCCCAAATGCAGTCATTAGAAGCAGATTATCCACAGACCAAAAAGATCATAAAGAAGAAATGACTATGTACACCTCTAAAACTTTATTTTGCATGAATTTTATGTCTTAGATAAATCATTAATCTGTGATTGTTATGGATAGATGAGTGGTAATATGAGGGTGTTTTTAATCTAATAACAATTTACTACACAACATGGTGCACGGACATGCCCAGACATCTCGGGACTGGTTTCAGGAATATGTCACTCAAGGTATGATCATCATTCAGGGTAATAATAACATATATAATACTGGGTATTACAACTGTGCTTAACGGTCTTTTCACCTTGGGATTCTGTGTATGTGTGTATGCATTCATGACAAATCTTAACATCCTAGGACCTGGCGTCCACATATGTGGACATCACATTTTGGGATGTCTAGACCAAAATAATAAATTCTGCTCTACAAGGGAGGGATATCCACTTACAAGGACATCATGCTGCCACCGTTCTATCGAAATTTTAAACATATGTCCTCATATGTGGATCAAATTTTTCTCAGAAACAAAAAACAGGTAAAAAAAAAAACAAATCTGGAAATTTTTTGTTTTTACAATCATCAGGTCCCAACATGCCCAAATATCAAAGAGAAATTAAAAATGCATGCCATGGAAGAGTTCGGGTCTTAGGAGGTTAATCGTGGAGATAATTACTGGAGTGAATGCTAGCAAGTGGTTTTTTTTTATTTTTTATGTCTGACAGTTTACTCAACACAGTAGTGTCACATTGTTGCTAACTAATTTTAGACCCGACCTTGCCTTGGGGCTTGCATTTTCCTAAGAATGAGGAAGTACATGAATGGACAGTACTGTGCAAAAGTCTTCCCTTATTTCTTTATATTTTGCTTCCAAGCAACCTGAAACTCTTGTATTTTTAAAAAAATGGTCTTGATCAGTTGTTTTCCAAGATTTCTGAAGGTCTTTCAGCAATTTGTTTTTTTTCTGTTTTTGTTTTTTTTGTTTTTACATTGGCTATTTTTCTCTGAGTCCAGTTCTTATGCCTGTTCATTTATAGAGGAATGTTTTTTTGTGTGTGTTAAGCCACTTAACACTGATCTTTGAATGATTCAAACATTACATAAAAAAGGCCAAACCAAACAAGGGAACTAGTGTTGTCTCTACACATAATGAAAACTTATCAATCAATCAATCAATCAATCAATCAATCAATCAATCAAT